TCATCCTGCCTTCTCGTCCTCTATACTAATTCTTCATCAGTAACTACTAACTAAAGTTTTGTTTGGTAGCTCACTAAAAATAGGCTTACTGGATTACACTTGAAGTCATAATAGTCATCCAGAAACTAGTTTATGGGAAAAAAAAAAGATCTGAGTAATTCTGGGCTTAGATAATAATAAAACTTGAGATAGCAGTAAGGATTAAGAATGCACTCCTGACTTCATGTATTCTGTTTTCAGAAACGTTGCTAGAGCTTTCTGAATAGCTTGCATTGCATCTGTTTCTCTAAAGACTGCAAGGAAGTGTAGTATACAAAAAGGCTGGACATGACTGCTAACCTCTTTTGCCCTCCCTTGTCAAGTCTCATTCCTCTTTGTTTCCCTTGCAAAATCATATATTTACCATCAAGATAAGTTTGAGAACTGGCTGCATGTTTACCAGTTTCAGCATATCTGTCATCTGTTACAGTAGAATTAACTACTTCAAATTCTTCTTGAGTAACCAGAATATGTAATAATTAAATGTCAGAAAATGTACCCCCTTTCAACAGCAGTAACTGATGTCATATCAGACTGCACAAACTTCCCTGTAGGTTGACAATAACACAGTTGTTCATCTGTGGGTCATCACCTTTAAGTACTATATGTGATTCATAAAGACTTTCGAAAAGAAACACTTTTTGGGTGTATTAAAATTTATCTTTCTACTACGTTGCAGACTGTAATAAAAATAAAATAAAAAACCAAACCCCTGATAACTTAATGTTCTTCTGTTATTACTGTTTTTTACCCACCTCTGAATCAAGTGCATTGATGTGAACTTTGCGGATTTCTATGTTTAGGTAGATGGGTGACATTAAAGAGTTCCCCTAACTGTCTTAGACACACATTAAGTACCACTAGGGAATAAAAAAAAGCAACTTTTTGTAAACAAAAATGTGTATGGACAGAAGAAAATCCAGTGTAAATGCAGAGCAGGCTATGCTCCTTGTAGCCTTGGAGGAAAATTGGGCATTGCTACGCATTCTGAAAATTTGTGAGGTGAAGAATTCTGAAATTATGGTTTGTAAGAACATCCTGAAGAATTTTCTCTTGGAATACAGAAAGGCTTAAACAGTATGTCTAGACTGTTTGATGGCTGTGTGGATCAAAACTATTCAACTCGGCACTTACAGGAAGGACACTTACTGGAGCACAAATGTCTTATGCTTGTGATGAAAAGTTTCTCTCAAGGAGATAACTACATTTCTGCAGTAGATTTAGTTTGAGTTCATTTGCTAAGTAACTGTAGAGTGTGTTATTAGAATCCTTATGCTGAGCTGACAGTTTTCTTGTTTTGTATCTGGAAGAAGGGGACTTACCCTCTTAGCCTGATATAAATAAATAAATAACTTTTAAAAAGCTCTTCTGGTAAAAGACTTCTGCAGACAAGAAGTTAGAAGAACACATATTTTTGCAAGATGAACAAATGAACAAATAAATATACATGTGTATTTGCACAAGTATAAATGGAATGAGGAATTAAGAACTTTACGTAACACCATCCAGACACCATTCCTTCCTCTTTGTTTGTTTTTTAAGATGTGGCTAAGAAGCCTGTGTTTTGGAAACAATATCTAAAAAAGCACACTATTAGAGATGTAAATAGTTCAAGGTATTAAGGTGTAGTTATAAATGTCTGTAGAGCTGTGATTAGCAGCTGTGATGTTCAGCATCAAAACCTGATAGACCTGGGCACCACAAGAGAAATAATTTTAGATCTTGTGACAAAGTACTCTCTTGAACTCCAAATACCCTTGAAAGCTTTGGGGCTTTGCATATAATGAAATGCTGTTACAGCTAAAGTATTGGGATGCTCACTGATATTTTTGAACTTTCTTTACCTGAACCCAAACTGTGGCAGTGTTAGAAATCAGCATAATGCAGAATTTATTCAAGAAGTATTTTTAAAAAAAAGTTTATTAAATTATACAGTTTTGAGAATGTTCAGCAGTATTTTTATTTCTGTATTATGCTGTGCATATGTATTCTTAAATCATCAGCTGATTATCTGTGTTGCTACAAAGAAAAAATACAGTACATCAATAAATCAATCATTACACCCCCTGGATGTCTGAACCAAAGTCCACACTGCAGATGGAATTGGTATGGTTCTTAAATTGTGTACATGCATGAATGTAAATTTCAGAGTCTTTATGCTCAAGTATTTTACGGTTTTTATGACCTCTTTTACTAATTAAAATAAATTTTAAACCCCTTTTCATTTAATTAAGTTATATTTATTATTTTCCTCATACCAAGTTTGGTATATTCTGGAGTTTCTTGAGATGCCTTATCACCAGAACTTAATTAGTTTTTGTTCTTGTTGAAAAAATTTTTAGTGGGCTAACACTGCCTTTAAACAGCCAAAACGTCAACTGGCATCGGTCGATTCCATAAGGAGTGCAGGAGTGGGATCCTTGGTAGCAATGGGAAACGATTTTAACTAGCAATCAGATCTTCATGTTGGTCTACTCTTACTTTTTTTTTCTTCAGTTCTGTGCATGAGCTTAGGTTATTTTTGGATCAAACTCCAAAGGCATTCTGATGAGCACTGTAAAATCTTAAAACTTCCTCTCCTTACTTGCAGTTGAGAGTCCAGTGTTTGTTACATATGTATCCCTAAAAAACACCTGAAGAGAGTTAGGCATCTTACAATTGGAGCTACAGAGCTTGTATGCTGCGTTGGCTTAAAAATAGAATACTATTTTTAGCTTGTGGCATTTGACTACCATTGGAAAATGCTGTGAATAAACATTATCAAATCTCTACCTGTCTTAAACAGTGCTTTTATGGTGTTGCTTAGCTTAACTTAAGGTTCAGGAGTCTGAATAATCCCCCAAAGAAAGACACCAGGGGGTTCATCCTCTTTGAAATAGCAGGAGAAAATGGGGTGCCAGTAACAGCTAATGGATAAAATTCACAAATGGTCCTTGGAGCAGAAACAGGGACCCAAAACTTTTCCTTCTAACCTGACTGCCTTAACCACTGAGATGGATTATTTTATGCAAAGGAAGACTCAAAGGAAGCTTCAACAAAAGAATGTGAGACATGTGACCCTAATCTGGTATAGTTTGGGAATTTAAAATTTTCCTGGACAAAATGGGCAATAAATGCAATATAGCAATTTCCCTCAGGCAAAAAAAGTGGAACAGAACTTACATCTCTTCAACTCTTGCATAAAGGTGTTGGGGAGCAGGAGGGAACTGTTACATGTTTTAAAAGAAAATAAGTGTCCCTACGTATTTATTGATCTTTCAGATGTTCAATTACCACGTTGACTGAATAAAAAAAATCAACTCTTCAAAAATCCCCCCATCTAACTTCTGGATCCCTACTGGGTTTGAAGTATGTGTCAAACTATGCTGCTCTGTCACACTGAAGCTTTTATTGACATACAGACGTAGGATGTTAAACTGAAGAGCCCAGTTCCTGTGCTGATTGTCAGCTGAAAGTGTTTTTTCAGAATGAGTATTTTGGAGCTAGGTGCCTAGACTCCCTTCAAACCCTTTCTGAGGACTGGCACACAAAATGTTTTCAATAACTGTCCTAAATTGTTAATAAGAGCTGTAATGCGGGTTTTGCATAAATGCAAATATTTGAACCTGAACAGATACATCAGCAAATGTTAAATGAAAAAAATTTATAACGATGGAACAGTTTTATGTGTTAATATAGAGTCTGATTTTTTTCTCTTTCACAGGAAACATGATAGGGCTGTTGTAAATTTAATCATTTGTATTTTGGGCTCTAATTGTGTAAACACATGCTTACATGTTTATTTTTATATTTTATATTAATATCACATTTACCTCAAGGTTATTTGAAACATTCAGCCAGAACTACTGTGCATTTTGTAGTGTTGGGATTCTCATGGAGACATAATGTTGTTTCAATAAACTACGGTGTATTTGTTCTGTTTTGCTATGCAATAAACTATTACAATGGGAACAAATTATCAGTTTCATTCAGATTTTCTTAATTTTCTCATGGGTATCCATATTGTCCCTAATACTGCTTTGTTTTTTCTTTTTTTTACTTCCTCGCAGGATGCTAATGGCCTATGTTACCCTTCAAGCAAAAGCCACGAACAGACTTTTGCCTACTTGATTGTGGATCCCTGCAAGCGACACGTGAATACGCTGTATCACTGTTTCGGTGGAGGCGTATTTGCTAACTAGTTATAAACCCCAGTTTTACAATGGAGGTAGCCTTCTCTCTGCATGGATTCAGGTAGAAAATGCATACTTTTCTGACGAGGAACGATGTGCTCCTTGATTACAGGCTCGGAAGCGCTTCACGTTTACTCAGATGTTACTACGGAGTTAGTGACAAAAGTTTTCCTGTATTTATAGTTCTTGACGCTGTTTTCTTGGCAGTGCCCCCCTCCCTTCACACGTCTTATCTAATAAAAAGTATTTCCCTAGAGGTCCCGTCCCTTTCATGAGCCAGTTTCACAGACCCACGGCGCGTAACTGCGGGGCAGGCTCTGCGAGACCGGGAGAAAGCGCGGGAGGGGGCCGATCCGAGGAGGGATGTCCCAGGCCGATGCCCCGTTTCGGGCCGAGGGGGAGGGGAGCACGGCCGCCTCTCCCCACCCCCTCGCGGAGCGGCCTCTTGGAAGTTGGATAGAAGTTAGGGAGAAAAAAATTCTGGTTGGCGGCACCGCTCCGTGTCGGCCGCGGGCGGGCGGGCGGCAGCCGGGAGAGGTGCAGGCGGGCGCACAGGGAGAGGCGGAGGGGTGAGAGCCGAACGCGGTCCGAGGCGGGAGCGGTGCGGGTCCGGCGCAGGGTGCGGGGGTCCCGGGCAGCGGCTCCCGCGCCGGGAGCCTCCCGTGCGAGAGGCGGTGCGGGCGGGCGCGCGCAGAAGCGCGACGAGGCACAGGCTGCCTCTGTCGGATACGGTGCGGGCGGGCTCAGGAGGGGCGGGGCCGGCGGCGGAGAGTAAGTGATTCGGGCGGGCGTAACTGCGAACTTTTGTTTGGTGTGTTGTGTGAGTTAGTTTCCGCCGCCGGGACAGAGGCGCCGGCCGGACTGGGCCGGGCTCGGGGAAGCGCCGCACGGTCAAAGTTGTTTTGCCAGTTGCCGCGGCCGGGTCGGTTTTCCGACCGAAGGGTGAGAAAGTACCGGCGACAGAAGGACGAGCCGCGGCCCGGGGAGCGGGGCATGCGGGGCTGGGAATCCGGGCTCTGAGCCGTCGAGCCCCGCCAGGGAAGCGCCGGGGGGTCCTGACGGAGCCATGGATCCCGGGCAGCCTCAAGCGCAGCAGCCGCCGCAGGCAGCGCAGCCCCCGGCCCCGCAGCAGCAGCAGCCGCCGCCGCAGCCCCCGGGCGCGGTGTCGGGGGCCTCGGCCGGCGCGGTGCAGCCCCCGGGCGCGGGGCCCCCTCCGGCGGGGCACCAGATCGTCCATGTGCGGGGCGACTCGGAGACCGACTTGGAGGCGCTGTTCAACGCCGTGATGAACCCCAAGGGCGCCAATGTGCCGCACACGCTGCCCATGCGGCTGCGGAAACTGCCCGACTCCTTCTTCAAGCCGCCCGAGCCCAAGGCCCACTCCCGCCAGGTGAGGGGGAGCGGAGGAGGGGCCGCTCGCGGGCGGGCGGGGGGCGGCCCGGCCCGGCCGAGCTCCCTCTCCCCGCCGCCGCCGAGCTCCTCCCGAGCGAGGCGTGTGGGGGAGGGGGCCGGGAATCTGCGGGGCCGAGCAGGGCGGAGGGCGCCCGGCCGGGGCTGCCGGGGCGCTCTGTGCCGCCCGCCGGGGGAGTCTGTCCCCCCATCCCTTCATTGGTTCTTCCCCAGGAGCGGGGGCGCCGTGCGGCCCCTGTCGCGCCTCTCGCGCTGGGTCCTGGACGGGGATCCGGACGGGGATCGGGGCCGGGACCGCGGCGGGCGGGCGGGCGCTGGCCCCGTCCCGGTGTCCGGCGTGGCCTCGGACTCCACATCCGCTCCTTGGCTTTCTCGGCTTCGCCGGGAGGGCGGCGGTGGGGATGAGCCCATAAAACTAGGGTGAAAACGCTTTGCTTGGAAGACGGGGAGGATTTCTCTCTGCGGTCCAATTCCCTGCCTTCCGTGGAGCGGGGGGTGATGAGGCGGTGCCAAACCTACACCCCCCCGCCCCGTCAGACAATATGGATGTGGCTTTTCCACCATTTCGGCACTGCGCTGGGTAGAGTAGAATTAACCCTCTCGCATATAGACGCACGCACATCCGAAGTTAATTCCAAACTGAGCCAGATATCAGGTCTGACGGCGTCCAGGGTCCGGCCGGGTGCACCTCTCGCATCCCGGGAGTCTCTGGACTCGGCCCTGTGGGGCCTCGGCCGTGCTAGCCCGGGGGAGGGAGGGAGGGAGGGATGCGGGGCAGGGCCGAGGAGGGAGCGGGAGAGGGATGCGGGGCAGGGCCGGGAAGGGGGGGCGGGGCGGGGCGGGGCAGGGCCGAGGGGGGAAGGGGCGATGCGGGGGCAGGGCCGAGGAGGAGCGCGGTGGGGGATACGGAGCAGGGTCGTCCCTCGGCCTCCGGGAGCGTTTCGTCTTCAAGCGGAGGGACTTTGTGCCAAGACCTAAATGCTGGTGTAAATACGGCTGAAAGTTAACGTTTAGGCCGCTGTTACCAATTTTTTGGCAGGAGGCTGCCTACCTACTCGAGTGTTATTAAGTAATGAACTTTGTTGCTAAGCTATAAAATAGGTTTTATTATTGGCTATTGTCACTTTATCTGTGTAGCCAGTAAAAGTGAAACTCGCTGTGTGGACTGGTGCCTACTACCCTTGTTGTTAAGGGTCTGTCAACATTTCCATTATTAAACTTCTGTTTTGAAGGATTTATAACTTGACTTCTGAAGTTCATTCCAGGCTGAACCTTGGCACGTACTCTCCCAGCCTAGGAGTTAATTCATTTTCCAAATACTCGAAAAATCAGTCTGGCCTTCATACAGCAAGACTGAAAAGAAAATTGAAAGGAGTGGAGCTGAGTTGCTTCTGTAATTTTGCTAGCTTCTGAGTTGCAGACCTTTAATAACATACTGAATTCTAGCAAAGAAAAAGGATTCTATGTACAGTCTTTTTCCAACTTGTGCAGATCTTATCGCAGTTCCATTGTGTACAAATCTGAATAGGTAGACATTCATCTAACACTTGGTGTTGTGTCTTGTTAAATACAGTAACAGCAGTTAAATAGCTATCGTGTTTGAAATGCACTTAATGTCTGTGATGTTCCTACAGCTTGCACTTTTAAGCTTAGCCTTATCTTCCTTGTGTCTGTTACTCTTCATCTGTAATGCATATTTAGTTGGATCACTGTTCCTTGTACCACTCGGCGGTTGTTAAAATATAAACTTGAAGCCAAAGAATCATTTACTTCACTGTGAACTTTTAAAATAAGACTATTTTCACTTTCCTTTTTGTTTAGTTGTGCCACAAAAGCATTCTGTTTAAAGAAAAGGTCTTTAATTTTCTGCAGTTTCCCCTGATTCTCAGGAATCAAGATGCCACAAATTCAGTTGATTTTGCTACTAGCCTATTTTGTTTAAATGTAAATGCAAGCTAATTCGTTTCCAGTTGAATACGTGGAAGTTCACGTGTCCTTGCATATAGATGGAGTGAAGCAGAATCGTCAGTCTCCATAAGAGTGTGTAAGTGGGACCTCACATATGGTGCAATACCTTGTGTAGAGAGGTGTGACAAGGGCTGATACATGCATCTCGTTATGGGTATCCATGTTGTTCTGCTGTATCTATAAAACCAGTTAATTGGCAAATATATTTTAAAAAGCCATTTTTACTTCAATCAAGTCTTCAGAGCTGCCTTTTCTATTCGATGGTGGATCTGTATTTACTACTGGCAAGGACATTCTTTGTGCTTGTAACTGATGGCTCAAGTGAATGGTTTTGTGAGTCATTTCTGATTGACTGCTTCAACCATTTCCTGAAGCTTTGCTTTGGATAAAGCATGGACAGACTTTTTAAACCCTCGAAAGCGTGGATTGCTAGGAAATTCTGTGTTCAGTATTTTCGTATATGTTTTCTTTGTGGTTGAATTCGTGAGTCTTCCTCCATTGGAACTCACTGCTGCCAGTTGGCATTTCTGTATTGCTTTTCTGTTTGGGTAATCATTTAAAGCCTTCAGAGGGGGTGTGTGTGGGTGTACTTGAACCCCCACACCCCTCTTTCAAAAGAAGAGTGGGAAATTACCTCCTCCAGCAGAAAGCGGGTGTGATGGTGGTGAGTGGGTGCAGTCCAGTAATGAAGCACTCAATAGTGTATGAGGTCTGCTGACTGCGGGCAGTTTTTTTTCTGAACCCTGCACCAAGGAGTAAGAGTTGTAGTTTTCAAGGTAAAACTAAGGGCGCTTAGCACATACTTAGTGGTAATAGGTCTTGACTTACACTAGGGCTTTTGTGATGCTAATTAACCAGACTACTTGGAGGCTTTCTTGAACAGCAGCAACTGGAAAATAAGCAGAATTTAGAATGACTGACTTACGAATTTTTCCTGAAAGATTCATTTAAAGTGAAATGTCATTTGACAGCTGCATTTCTGCTGAAATATAAGAATTTTAATGGGGTAATTTCACTCCTGGCAGGCTAGCACTGATGCAGGGACAGCAGGAGCCCTAACCCCACAGCATGTCCGAGCTCATTCCTCTCCAGCATCACTGCAGCTGGGAGCTGTTTCTCCAGGGACGCTCACACCCTCTGGAGTAGTGACTGGACCTGGAGCTCCATCTTCTCAACATCTCCGCCAGTCTTCATTTGAGATCCCTGATGATGTACCTTTGCCACCAGGCTGGGAGATGGCTAAGACACCGTCTGGACAGAGATACTTTCTTAAGTAAGTAAAATTTCTTTTCAGTTAGCTGTATATCTGGTGCTTGTTGGGATATATTTTATACTTTTTTTACAGTCTTTGAATTTTAGTAAGTTTCATTGTGTTTAAAATATGTATTTCTAAAAATATGCTCCTAATTTTAAGTAGGAGAGCCTACCACTTTCGTACTTCTCCAATATCAACTCTGCTGTTTCTAAAAACTTTATGATACTCTGTGAATATTCATCTTACCCTAATCTTAGCTGAAGAATGTTATCGGTTATATTGTCTACTAAAAATCAGTGAAGCGCATGTAGTGATTTTTAAACAACGTGAGTTTTGGATTTGCTGAATCTCGTCAGAGTTGTCATGCAGGTCAAGATACATTTTACCTTATTTTTATAATACAGATGTAAAAATATAGAGTAACTTTAGAAACTGTTCTAGTGACTGTATATCAAGACTTCTTATCTCTTGATTTAGAACAGTTGTGTAAATATACAATCAAAACGTTTTTGCCTACTCTCTATTCATGAGGAAATTAATATATGTGTTTGAGTGCAGTATTTGGGTCTGTAACTTCTCTACATTTCCTGCAGTGAAATGGAAATTAACAGAACTTGTAACACTGTTTCATGTTCCTACAGCTGTAGCTTTTTCAGACAGTGAAATTAGTATCACCTTTTCTGTAACTGAAGAGAGGTTACACATGCCAGCCATCTGACACCTAATCCATCAGAGAGCATTTTCTTTTATTCTGCGCAGTTTTCTAAAACAGCAGGAGCTTGTCCTTCTCTTTCTGAAAGTGTGCCCACCAAGACCATAATTTGCCCTCAAATATTTTGATTGTATTTTAAACTTTTTATTTAACTGCAAGTCTCTAATAACCCATTATATGTCATTTTCAGGGCCGGGATAGGCAACACTGTGTTACTTATGTAAAACTTGTTTCAGCCAAGAAAAACATCTTTATCCCTACCTTTCTTGCTTAGACATTGTCATTTATATGTGCATCTGATTGAAGTAATTGAGTCTGTAGCTTCAAAAACAAATTTACATTGTCTGCAATGAAAGTGGAACTTGCAGAACTTCTTAAAAATGTGTTTTGTTCCTGTAAGGGTGGTGTTTCCATGCAGAGAAATTAGCTTTTTTTTTTTTTTTAACCAAAAAGAGGTTGCAGTAGTTGTCTGACATTTGAGTCGGAAGGTTGTTTTTTGAAAATAATCATTCTCTATTAGAAGCACGAAAATAAGCATTAGCTATAGAGCCTGAAGGTGGGATATTTTCTAAAAAATCAGCATGTTCTAGAATGTGAACTTTGCAGCAGGCACAAGTAGAAGTTTTTTTTGAACTGTGTAAGTTTATGCCGTTTGAGAACTGTAGCTCATTGGACCTTGAGGAAAGAACAGACCCTGTTTTGAAATGAAAAGCAAACTTTGTTTTGACTGTGTTAGTGAGAGCTCTTAAAGAGCAGCTTATGAAGCACAAAAAATAGATATTTGATTTTTAAATTTTTCTGCCACAAGTGCTTGTTTTTGATAATGCTGTCAAATTTACAGAAAAATGGAACAGTTTAAGAGACAAAAAACGTCTTCATGCTCTTGTAATAAATTTTTTTAATTATGCTCATTCAGGTGAAAGCAGAGTGAAATATGTGTTCTTGGAAAGCTTTTTCTGCAGTTCGATTATTGCCGCAAAAAATCTTTTCCTTTTTTCTGCAAGTTTTTTTGTCCTTTCTTGGTGTCCTGGTATCCATTTCAAAGGGTCAGGTTTCAGCAAGAACAATAAAGAGCCTGAGAGTGGAAAGTACACACAAGTCTGGCAAACTCATCTGCATGAGCAAGATCGTTTGTTCTCAAGCAGACGTCCAAAGTAAATGATTGAAAGAGCTGCTAGCTGTGAAGGATGTGTCTTGAAGGGGAAAGGAGTGGAAACAAACCATATTGTTAGGAAGAAAAATAAAGGCTGTACTTTTTGAACCTCTCCCTGCTGGGTCACATGCTGACCCTGGGAGATTTTAAACAGTGTAATAGGCTGTTTTCTTTTGGCTTTCCTTGGGTGATGCTGTGGTATGGGAGAGTCTAATGAGGACAGTTCAGAAGGCTCTGTTCACACTTGAAGAACATGTGTTGTTCCTGAAAGGTTGCTTAACGCTATCTACAGGTGAGATCCACCGAGTTCATTGGAGTTCACGAAGATTTGTAAAAATCATTTCAAGTATTAGCAAAACGTTTGCTCTGTATGTGTAGGAAGTCTAAAGAAATGTAAGAATTAGCTTTGAGTAGCAAGTTTGTATATTAAAAGGTTTTTTCAGTGTTGAGTGATAAGTTCTATCTCAGATCTACAAGCCCGTTAAAAACTAACATCTTGCTTAGTTATACCTTAAACATTTGCTTGAAATGTGAATACTAAAATTTCTGATTCTAAATACATTTAGAGTGATTCCTTCTACCATATGCAGATTTCTGGTGTCTCTTCCAAGTATTCAGCTTTTTTTTTTTTTTTTTTGGGTTGGCTGCACTGCTTTTTGTTTCCATTTGCTCTGTTCTGTAACCACTCCATGAACAGTCTGGTAACCAGGCTCTAGACAGATCTCTGCAGAATAGGTAACAATGTTATATTTTTTCCAGATGTCAGTAAGCCTTATGGTTATAGTTATCATAATATACTATGGTGCAAACTGAATAAAATAAAATTGAGTATCATACTTAATACACTTTGTAATTACAGTCACTTCCACTAATCGATGGGTCAAGTACTGCAAGCATAGTAGTTTGTGCAAAGAAATGAAAGTAGTGTATGTGGGAGAGAAAACATTTAATCACCTGTGTGTGTGTGTATGCATATACACGCAGATACATGCACAGAGTTATTTGGCCACGTATTTTATGTACACGCCCCACATATCCATAAATATTAAAAGAGGGTGAGAGTGGTAGTGTAGGGTCTGAACCAGAGCTACTTTTATAAATTAGTCAGTCAGCTAGATGAATAGACCCCCTTATGTATGAATGCCCAACATATGATTTGCCAGAATTCCACTCATTAATGTTCATCTCACTGTTATGAACAGTTCTGCTGAGTATAATTTTCCATTAGTGATGATTTCGAGCAGTGAGTTAAGGCCACTACTATACAGCTGGTAAAACTAATCCTATTTTTTTATTGATACTGTTCCTTAAATTGAACTCATCAGTTAAGACTTGCCTAGTTAGTAACTGGTCAGATCTGACTCATCCCAGCATTGCTGTGCGGTAGCTTTAGCCCATTCTTAAACATGCAGTATTAAAAGCTGTGCTTGGTTTGTGTGGTGATGTCAATTGCATTGCTTTTTAACCACTTCCTGTTAGCCAGCTGCTGGTTGACATTTTGGTGAACTATGGAAAAAGATAGGGGATCGCTCTCTAGGCAAAAGATAATATGCCATGGGAGTAGCAGGCAACTACTTGCTGAAAGAAAAATAAGTTTTGATTAATTTTAGAGTTACTCTTGTATCATTTTAACTTAGTTATGCATTTAATTCTTACAAAGCTTGTGTAATACTGCTTCTTATGTTGTAGTGTGAGGAAAAGTTAACTGATTGTCCAGCAAGCAAGTCTTGTAATTATTTTTCCTACAGGAAGTAGTTCTTGCAAGCAGTTTATCAACAACTTCCTATTTTTTTTTCCTATGAAGTGTTGAATGACTTCCTGAAGGAGGCCAAGGTGGTTTTCATTAGTATCTGTGGGTGTGTTTGAGGTGTTTACCCATCTGGCAGAAACCTTAAAAATAGATTTCTGTTACACATTTCTTATGCGCTCCATGCAGAGGTATGGCTTTGGACATTATGAAATCAGATCGTTTAAGACAACTGGGAAGTTTGTTGCTGTGCTTTTACTTTTTTTTTTTTTTTATTTCCTCATGTCACACATGAAAAATACACAGTGCTGTTGTTAAATTTCTCTTTCATCCTGTTTTTGCACCTGACTGGAGCCACCCACTACACCAATATCATCTGCTCCCCTCCTCCTCCACACCTCACCAAAGTAATCTTAGTCTTCAAGGACAGAAGATGTTTATTGGAAAAGCTGCATCCACAGTTACTTATTTTATTGAATACCTTAATTTATTGGGGAAATGCATATTCAGATTCATCAGTTAATGTAAGTTCTTGTGTTTATAATTCACTCTAGTTGGTCAGTAAAATAGCAGTATTGTTGGAAACCAAAACTGCAACCACTGGTTTTGATGGATTTCTCCACTTTTTCATGCTTTTTGTACTGAAAAGCAGTTGAAGATGTCTGTTTGCTAAATTTTATTTGTAATATGTCAAATTAGTTGCATTTTTATATTGATTTGACTGTTAAATGTAAAATCGAAGATCTACCCAAAAAAAGCCATGAAAAAAATGGGCACTGTCAGTTTTGGAACATAGCTTAAGAAAAGAAATATTATTAAAACACTTTTGAAGTAAAGCGTGCTGTAATATAGTTTTGGGAATTTAAGGGGGATTTTTTGTCTTGGAAGACAGTCATAGTACTACCAAGTGTATATTTTTCCTTCTGTCTCTTACTTCGAAGAGTCCTATGAAAGAACAGTAACACAAGCTATTTGGAATTTGCAGTTGTACTGAGGATTTCTTTATTTTTAAAAGGGCCAAGGAAGAATAAGGGCAAACCTGCCTTATTCGTGTTAGTGCTGAGACTGAGTTCGGAGGATGATGAAGGTACATTCTCAGCCCAGTATGAATTCAGAGAACTTGCAGTCAGCTTACTAGATGGGCATCAGTGAAAACAATTGCACACAGTACTTTGCTTGTGTTTGGTTTTTATTTTGGTTAAGAAAAATTGTAAATTATGGTATCCATCCATTCAATACCCTACCATACAAGGTGATTTTATAAGGCTAATTCCAAAAGCAGTTTAATAGATGTTTTATAGATGTGATTTCAGGTAAACCAGAACTATATCTTGTGGTTTTCGCTAATGTATTTTTCTCTTATTTATAAGCATCTTGACATTTATTATCTTCAGAAGAAATTAGAA